GTTGCGATCCCGTTGCCGGTCCCCGGTCCGGTACGGGGGCAACACTGAGGGTTGCGATCCGTTGCCGGACACAGAAAAAGACAAAAAGACAAAAAAAAAAAAAAAAAGAAATAGATTTTCCAAAGTTCTAATTATCATTTTAAAGCTCAAATTTGATAATTGGCAACAAATACTGTCAGTTTTTTTTTTAAGTGACAGGCTCATTTTGTTCAATTTTGAGACACTGTCTACCATATACCTCTAAACCTGAACACCCATAGTTTCTGACAGTCATTCTTTCACATCAAAATGGTACTCTGTGAGGGCCGGCCCGGTGGCACACTCGGTAGAGTGCGGCGCTCCCGCCGAGGGTTCGGATCCCATATAGAGACCGGTCCGCTCACTGGTTGAGCGCAGTGCGGGCACGACACCAAGGGTTGCGATCCCGTTGCCAGTCGCAGTACGGGCGCGACACTGAGGGTTGCAATCCTGTTACTGGTCATGAAAAAAAAAGACAAAAAGTAAAAAAAAAAAAAAAAAATGGTACTCTGTGAAAAAAATAGTTTGGTTTGCAACACAGTGATACAGGTACATTTTCTCTAGGCAATCTCTGTACTTCGGTATGCAACAGAAGTACTTCATGTTTACTTCCTATTCCACATTGAGAATTTTTAAAATGTATACTTAAAAAAATAATAAAATTAAATTTAAAAAAAATTTTAACTGTACATTCAAGACTCACAGTATAGTAAACCTCATGTATTTTACTGCTTTTTCAAGGGTGTGCTTAAGCGAAACTGTCTTTTCTTTTCTTGTTAGTGCATGTCAGTGAAGAGTACAGCAACCACTAGTAGGGTTGGTGCCACTGCCATGATTCTCACTAACATTCCAGTAGTTTTTTCCATTGCTTTTACACCATTTTTTCCATTGCTTTTGTACCATTGATGCAAACGTCACCACAGTGAAAAGGGCAAATAACGTGTTAGAATTATTATGAAAATAATTTTGACTTCACAGACCTTCTGTAAGGAGCCTCACAGGGGTCTGCAGAGCATACTTTGATAATTACTGTTCTAGAATTATCCAGTTCCAGGAGATTGTGGAGCAAAGATATAATTCAGAATGAATTTGAAAGGAACACTTTGGTTACCAAAGTCCATGGGTAAGTCCAGCATTAGTTTAAGTAACGGTTGGCAAAAGCAACTGACTCTTGAGAATAGTGTCGTATTGTGCTTGAACACAAATTTATTACTGTTTATTATTAGTACTATTTATCAGTTCTCTCCAATGGTCAGTGCATTCTTCATGCTGGTACTATGCCCTGGGAGTAGGTAAAATGACCAGTCTAGTAACTGAGATAGATAATTAAAACACAATTCTAATCTGGTTTTCAGACAAACTAGATGCCACCTGAATGATGTACTGTTATCACCATATTCAGCATATATATATCTAGTTATAAAACATAGGTCACCTAAGTTTTCAGCTTTCCCAAAGTTTTTTCCTTCTTAAAGAACTGGTATTATGTAGTGTCAGGAACAATCACTAAAATAGTTTCACAAATCACTTTTCTATTTCTTTGTAAATATATGATCAACTGATTTGTTTGTTTTGGTTACCAAATTTTAACATTTGCACAGTAATTATATTTTAAAGTGTATTTTTTGTAGCCAAGAATCTCTTTCTTAGACCTCTTCACTTCTGAAATCAGTATTAGCAGGTGGCTTTTTCGGGCCATTTGCACAAAGAAACACACCTTTTTCTTTTTCAAGTGTTACATTGTGACTTCTGATTATTTATGTTGTGAATATCTTAGGTATGATTTTTTCCTTTAGTAAACTTTTATTGGCTTATCACATATTATAGAAAAGTAAACAAGTCATACGTGTACTTCTTGATGTAATCTCCATGTAAACACCTCGATTATCAAGAAATTAAATATTACCGGCACCCTAGAAGACCCTTTTATGCCTCTCTATCACTGCATCCTTCGTCACTGTCCTGACTTCTAACACCATAGATTTGTTTTGCCTATTTTTGAAACTTTTGAAACTGGAATTATATAGTGTGGACTCCTTGGTTATGGCTTCTTTTCAGTTCACATTATATGTTTGAAATATATTTATGATGTTAATATAGCTCTCCTTTTTTTCATTGTATGAATATGCCATAATATTTTTTATCCTTTCTAGTGTTATGGGTATTTGAATTTATGAACATGTATATGTGTATATGTTGGTTACATACCTATGAGTATAATTATTGGATCATGGATTATACTTATTTAGCTCCAGCAGATATTGCCAAATTGTATTCAAGAGTGGTTGTATCTATTCATAAATTTGGATTATTGGGAGGTAATCCCCACATTTATATACAAAAACATTTACACACACACACAAAACACATATTTATATGCATATATTAATATGTATATATAGATACCTTAATACCCACACTTCTAATTTAAAACCTTCTTTTTCTGGGAAGGGAATGTTTGATCCTTAACTATGGTGCATGTTTTCAGGGGCTATTTTATGTGTGACATACTCAATTTATATGGTAAGATCATTTTGCATCTCTCTTTTAGTAGCCCTCTGATGAACTGTGTTAAAAATCATCTGGAATAGAGCCTCTGAAAGTTAAAAGAGTCTCTCCTCATTAGAATTTCTATGTGAATTAAACTAGTGTCCAAAGGAGGGGTCATCTGAGAACCTTTTGCTCAACAACTGGAAGTAATTAAGCATCATAAATTCATCTTTCATGTAAAAAATTGGGTTGCTCATCAGTCTTTGTTATTCCATTGGCTCTTTTTAGAAGAGTGGATAGGGCTCCTAATCAAAGAACAGCTTATGTCTGGTGCTTGTTCCAAAATCAGCTTAACTGGATGGAAAAGTTAGGTTAGGAAGGAAGCAGGTAAGGCATTATGTTTTCAATATAGGTTCAAATTGAGCCTGACGAAAGGTGTGAGAAGAAAGTGGTTGAGAGTCCAGGCCAGAAATTAATTTTACTTTGGAATGAAATATTTGATGCTGCTATTAAAGATGTTCTAGAATATTCTTTCTGATGACTTGTATAAATTTATACTGTTAGTAAAATGTGGCCAAGTCTTTTGAGCTTCATTGCTTCCAAAGAAAAGGTACAACTGCCAAAGTTCACAGTTTTATCGGTTGATATGTACCATTAAAATGCTCATTAGTTGAAAATAGCCAAACAAACTGAAATATACTTCTAAGCCTAATATGTCCTAAAAATTGTTCAGAAGCCTAAATACGGTAATTAAAATGGCAACTGTATGTATATATGCTACACAGAAATGATGAATGGGACCCACAGAACTGTTGTTTTCCTTAGATGATGTCTCATGCTGAAGGACAACAAAGAGACTTAATTAGACGAATTGAATGCCTTCCTACTTCTGGCCACCTTAGTTCCTTGGACCAGGATCTCCTAATGCTCAAAGCTACTTCCATGGCAACTATGAACTGCTTAAATGACTGCTTTCATATTCTCCAGTTGCAGCATGCATCACATCAGAAGGGCTCGTTGCCTTCAGGTAAGTTAGAGTTTTATCACTGAGGAACAAAACATGGGAAGGACTTCATTCGTTGTAATGCTAACTCCAGAAAATCTTAATAAAAAAAAAAAGTAGAAAACCAGTGAGACTCTTGGTTTTTAATTGTCATACTAATGTTATGCAAATTCCTCCTAATTATGTCCTTTTTAAATTTTTCAATGTCCTTTTTTTAATCTAAAATGATTTTAGGTCTTTAGGTCTAATATCATTGAATATTCCTTTAGAGACCTCAAACTCAACATATCAAAAACTGAACTCAAAACCCATAACTCCTGTATTTCTGTTTAAATTGGTGGCATCACTATCCATCTATCCATCAGTTGACCAAAGTAGAAATGTTGGGATCATTTCTTGAGTTTTGGTTTAGTCCACTATTGCTTCCAAAGAAAAGGTACAACTGCCAAAGTTCACAGTTTTATCGGTTGATATGTACCATTAAAATGCTCATTAGTTGAAAATAGCCAAACAAACTGAAATATACTTCTAAGCCTAATATGTCCTAAAAATTGTTCAGAAGCCTAAATACGGTAATTAAAATGGCAACTGTATGTATATATGCTACACAGAAATGATGAATGGGACCCACAGAACTGTTGTTTTCCTTAGATGATGTCTCATGCTGAAGGACAACAAAGAGACTTAATTAGACGAATTGAATGCCTTCCTACTTCTGGCCACCTTAGTTCCTTGGACCAGGATCTCCTAATGCACTCCCTCCAGCAGTTTTTTCTTCTTAGTTTTTGTTTATTTTAACCTATTATTAAAATATATATATGCTTGTATCTTATATTTTTCACCGAATATTAAGAATATTTTCTAATTTACTATGTGCTTTTTTTTTTTTTTTTTTTAAAGATGACCGGTAAGGGAATCTTAACCCTTGGCTTGGTGTTGTCAGCACCATGCTCAGCCAGTGAGCTAACTGGCCATCCCTATATAGGATCCGAACCTGTGGCCTTGGTGTTATTAGCACCACATTCTCCCAAGTGAGCCACAGGCCGGCCCCCTTCTGGATCTTAATCTAAGCCCTTTCACTAACTTGTGACCTTGGGCAAGTCACTTACTATGTGCTTTCGATAAACATAATTTTTATTGGCTGCATTGTGTTCCTTTGAGGTGTCAGATGTACTTTGGTTCACTGAACTATTCTCCTATGTTGAGCATTGGATGAGTTACCTTGAGCTATGAAATTTGGGTTAATTCTATTGTTGGTAATAATTATGGCTGTAAAATGAAACCAAGGGAGTTTGTTTCCAGTTTATGCTACTTAATTTCTAAAAAATACATTAAGTAATACAGTGCTAGATACTAGATGCTTAATAAATACTTGATTTTTTTTTTTTTTTTTAAAAGATGACCGGTAAGGGGATCTTAACCCTTGACTTGGTGTTGTCAGCACCACGCTCAGCCAGTGAGCGAACCGGCCATCCCTATATGGGATCCGAACTCGGGGCCTTGGTGTTATCAGCACCGCACTCTCCCGAGTGAGCCACGGGCCGGCCCAATAAATACTTGATTAATCAAGTACTATATAATTTTTAAAGTTCTTAGACATTTCATTTGTGTGGTTTAAATTAATACACAGTCTTATTTTTAAATATTTGTTTCATGATTGAGGAAGCATGTATAGTATAAATTTGTGTTTTTTAATTACAAAAGTGAAACATTTGCAAACTTTACAGAAGTATTTAAAATGGAAGTTGTTTTCCCACATTACTATTTTTTGGAACACAGATTTGTGGGTATTTGGGGGAGTCAGTTGACTAGCATTGGTATTTCTCATTGTAAATTGCCATGTTTTCCAAATTTGGTCTATAGAAATTTATTCTTAAGGGCCAGCCCATGGCTCACTTGGGAGAATGTGGTGCTGATAACACCAAGGCCATGGGTTCGGATCCCATATAGGGATAGCCATTTGGTTCATTGGGTGAGCGTGGTGCTGACAACACCAAGTAAAGGGTTAAGATCCCCTTACTGGTCATCTTTAAAAAAAAAAAAAGAAAGAAAGAAATTTATTCTTAAGTCACTTGAGAATGAAAATATAACTTTAAGGGGTTGGCCAGTTATCTTAATTAGAGCCCGGTATTATAACTCCAAGGTCAAGGGTTTGGATCCCCTTACCAGCCAGCTGCCAAAAAGAAAAGAAAAGAAAATTATAACTATGATAAGAAAAACTGAATTACCTTCTCACTCAAATTTTGAGATGATAAAAAGAATGAAATCTAAGTTCAAGTTAGCATTTAGTTCCATAAGGTCTTAATGTATGTTATCCAAAGGCTCAGTAGTGATCATTGATTTAGAGGGGGCCTGATACCAAATGCTTGATCTGATAGAGTTTTGTTATGGTTTCCAGTCAGTTGAGTGATGCCTTAAAACAGATCTCTTAAATTTAGTGTTTGTGTGCATTTTATTTTTAGAAGTAAGGACATCTGGATATTGATATTAAAAAGTAAACATTTCAAGGTAGGAGCAAAGTATTTTCATTTCTTTGGAATTTTAAAACAGGCTCCATGAACTTCCCCCAATCACAAATCCCCCTAGTGCCAAGTGAGACTGACAAGGTAAGATGTTCTGGTAGCCTGGTAGGTATGTTGTAATCTATTCCTTTACTGAAGTTTGGGGTTTTGTTATAGACTGAATAAATTCCTTACTCTTTTAAATTTCTGCTGTAGTAGTCTGAGCATCTTTTATTATAGCACTTTATAACCAAGCTTCTGTGAAACCTAGATCAGCCTCTGAAATCAAATGGAACATTTTCCATTATTGATTAGGCACAGAATCCACTTTGTTAAACTAGTTGAGGGTAACAGGAGACATTTGAGTCATTAACTGAGAAGATGACAGGTCTCCAAATGTGACCACTGTCTTTCACTAGGTCAGCTATTATTTATTCAGTAGAAGGATCTTTCAGTTTAAAAATTACTTGGGGCTTTTTTAAGATTGCGAAAAAGAAGGACATGTATTTGTAATTCTTAAATTAGATCCAGGGTTTATTTTGATGGCTTAGAAAATTGGTGGTGAGAATAAGGTTTAATCCCAAATTGAAGGAAATTTTACTGTTTCATAGTCCAGACTCCTGCTATAGTTGTAACCCCTTAAAGCTTAATTGCATACTTTTTGATTACTAGAGGGACTGGGTTCATACAGAGAGGACAGCATATCCACTGTTAAGTTGGAAATACACTTCATGATTCACAGACGTGCCCAAGAATTGAGTTCAGTCCTATTCAGGGTCAATTCTTTTAAATAGTATCTGATTTCAAGTTGCAAGCTGCTCTGTTGTGAAATACCTGATCATGGTGCTCATGTTAATGAGATACAAGTGGCTGACTTGCAGGGTCTCTTAACAGGTTGAATTGCTTTAAGTCTTGTAGGCTCAAAACAAAATTGCTTAATAAAATCTACATCTGCTGAACTTTCCAGATTATGAGCAAGTTTCAGCAAAAGTTTTCTCTTACTTCATCAGGAACGACAATCGAATGGTTAGAACCAAAGATACCTTTATCAAACCACTATAAAAATGGAGCTGACCAGCCCTTTGCAACTGAGCAGAGTAAGCCAGTAGCCGTCCCAGAAGAACAGTCTGTTGCAGAATCTGGACTATTAGCAAGGGTAAGATAATATGAAAATATGGTTTCCATGTAAAAAGTTAGAATCACTCAAAAGGTTGTCAGTTCTCTTTTTATTGTCAGGGCATGTAAGTCAACATAACACCAGAGCAACACTTGCAGATTGTAAACATTGTTATTTTACTTTAAACAGCATTTGCTTTGGAAGAGGTCTCTTGTATTACACTAGTATGTATTATGTTTTCCAGGTTAAATTTTATGCCCTTTTTAGCTTTGGTTTACTTTTGCTTGATAAATATGTATTTAAAAAATTGAAATTTGCATGTTTTTCTTTTTCTAGAAAATAACTTATCTAATAAGATTATTTGTACAATGTTTTTCTCTTTACCCCATTTGTATTAATTTAACATTGTTTACTATTAAGTTTATAAGTTTAAAAGTTTACTATTAAATCTTTCTGATAGTAAGCACTTTACCAAACAATTGTTTCAAGTGTTATATTACTTAAAATAGCACATGATCACAGGGTTTAATATTTTTATGAAGTATTATTCATTCCATATTTCTCAGAAGCTAAAGTGTCTTATTCTATTCATAGATCTACTGGTATAAGAAATCATATTTTTTGTCTTTTGTGTTCAGTTCTGTTATTTTTGTGGTCATCATAAATACATAGATAGTTTTATTTTAAGCTATTTTTACCTGAAACTCTCATAAGCATTTTTCTGTGTGCTGGCCTGTAGAGTTAGTTTTAAAGGTTTAAGTAGGCTATTGAGTTAATATCCCTATTGTTGAATATCTAGGTCGTTTGTTATTTTTTGTAATTATAAATAGTATACCTTGTTTACTATTTCTTTCTCTCCTTTCTTTGGGTTATATTCCCAAGTAGAATTTCTGAGTCAAGAGTAACACACAGTTTATGGTTATTTATATATTCATAAATTACTTCTTAAAAGAAAAAAATATATGACACAGGACTTCCAAAGGTGTTGGCTTTATGAGGCAGACAGTAGAGGCCAGGTGGGCAGGAGAGAATTAAAAAAAAACAGTATATGAAAAGCTATTTTTTCTATAGCCTTTTGACAAGCTCATTTGTAGAGTCAAGCAATTAGCAAATATTTAGTAAATAAATACTTAAAGTATTTAAGCTGTCTAACATATGACAAGTCCAATGTTAGGAATTAGAGGAGAAGCAAAAAAAAAGATAATAGTCCTTTCACTGAGGAAACATAATCTGTTTGGAGTCACAACACATATACACTAAAACAATGAGATGACGATATGAAACAGTCTTTTCGGGGTGGTTCTTAATTGATATGGTTTAGGCTATTGGGATATGGGCATACAAACAAATAAGGGAGACATATTGAGTGGAGTGGATGAGAAATGCTTTGGAGAGAAAGTGGGATTGGAATTGGGCTTTGAAAAGAGACAGGATTTGAAGAGAGGAGGAGTAGTAAGGGGATCTCAAGATGGAGGAGTAACAAGCAGGGATACTGAGGCATGTATGATTATTGTGGAGAAGCCTTGCCTGGTCGTTTTGAACCCAGGGTATGTCATTCACTAACATGTGGACCAATTAATTAACCACTCTTAGCTTCAGTTTCCTCACCTGTAAAGGGATAATGTCTTGGAAGACTGTTATGAGGGTAAAATAAACACCTGGATAAGCATAGCCCCTGGCTTATGAGAAATGATCACAGGGGTTGTTGGATTTTACAGCTCCAGATGGCACCATTCATGTTGCACTCTGTGTAGAATGATCTCTAGAGCACTTCTCCATAGAATACAGTGTGAATTGTGCTCCCAAAGAACATAAAAATCATGGAAAAGAGTTTATTCTTAATGTGATAGACAGTAGGGTCATGAGCATGGGTGAAGGATGTGATATGTTTAAGAAGATTGGTATATGATATGACTTGGAATTACAGTGTGGATAGAAGGCTGTGGAAGTAGAAGTAAAGACAAATGAATAGGTAATGTGCGTTTCAAATGAAAAATCAGTGGGACTTGTGATTGACTGTACACAGGATTGAATCAAAGACAACCCCAAGTTTTTTTGTCTAAATAACTAGATAAAATTGTGGTGCTGTTCAGATCCCCATACCAGCCAGCTGTCCCCCCTCCAGCTTCCCCATAAAATTGTGGTGCCATTCACAAAGCTATGAAAATTAGGAAGAAATAGGCTTTTGGGAGAAAAAGTTTAGTATGGTTAAAAATGTGTTGAATTTTGCATGAGAGGAGGATATGTGATTGTAAATGTTTATGAAAAGCAATTGAGATAATGGAACCAGAGCTTTGGAGAGAGATCAGGACTAGAGATATAATTTGTATCTGAAAAATGATAAACTAAAAGTCAGATACTCCAACATCTTCATTCTTCTGAATGAGAACACAAAACATATTGGAGGTCAGGATAGAGGTATGTGTTAGAGATGGGGCTTAGGGACAGGGAGGAAAGATTGCTGTGTTTCTAAATCTTTTGAAACAGTGAGTTGATCAAGTACATCACCTAGTGTAGAGAGAAAACAAATAAGCACATAGATTTTTTTTAGATTTCAGAAGACATTAGACTCCATTCAAGTACACCAGAATAGACCTGAATTTTCCAGAAGTATCACCTAGTGTAGAGAGAAAACAAATAAGCACATAGATTTTTTTTGGATTTCAGAAGACATTAGACTCCATTCAAGTACACCAGAATAGACCTGAATTTTCCAGAAGTTTCACCGATGCCTTCTTTGAAATATAAGTGTAAATGCACGCTAGAGACCTGGATTATAGTAGTGGGCATTTTGCTGTCAGGTGAGGTTGAAAGTCAATCCCAGTGAGACTAGAGTGAAGCCCATAGTTTCTTCATGCCCCCCGTCAGAAATCAGAAGGACAGAAGTAAAGTCAGTATAGTATGAGTTTTGTAGGACATTGCAGTTTCCCTTTGCCATGCAATCTCCAAATAGTATGAATTTCTAGAAACTCAACAGCTCTTGGATTGTATTTGCTAATCATTCTGGGTTTGTAGGGATTTTATACATTTGAGCATGTTTATTTGGATTTTGGTAATACGTTTTCACCTTAAGCTTTTCTTTAAGAAAAGCATGATGACCAAAAAGAAGTCATCAAAAAAGGAGGCACAGCTTCCAAATTCTTTTATTTACAAAAAGATTAGAAGGAGTGTTTAACTGTTAATATAATTTCTCTTGTTTTTTCTCTTCTAAGTATTTTGAATATTTTTGTTTGTTTATAATATCATTTCTCTTGTTTCTTCTCTTCTAAGTATTTTGACTATTTTTGTTTATTTTTGATTATTTTTATAACAACAAAAACTATATTTATTTTTTTTTCCAGTTTCTGCATATTACCAACTTATTTTTATTTCTGAATATCACAAACTTCAATACTTTAAAAAATATTATTCTGCATGCATTTAACAAATCTGACAAAAGGACAAGTATCCAGTTTACTTGCATGTAACTATGAAGTTTTAAACTAAACAGCCAATAAACATATATTTAAAACTAATAGGTACAGGTAACAATGAAAACACTTCAGTGCGTTAATCTGTTGGCATCCTACCACTATGCACATGTTCGTGTAACACTACTAGTAATTACCCTGAAGCACAGGCAAATGTAGATGGGGGACTCCCTAAAAAGCAAGTTGAAGGGATTAAATATCATCATCATCATCATCATCATCATCATCATCATCATCATCATCATCATCATCATCATCATCATCATCATCATCATCATCATCATCATCATCATCATCATCATCATCATCATCATCATCATCATCATCATCATCATCATCATCATCATCATCATCATCATCATCATCATCATCATCATCATCATCATCATCATCATCATCATCATCATCATCATCATCATCATCATCATCATCATCATCATCATCATCATCATCATCATCATCATCATCATCATCATCATCATCATCATCATCATCATCATCATCATCATCATCATCATCATCATCATCATCATCATCATCATCATCATCATCATCATCATCATCATCATCATCATCATCATCATCATCATCATCATCATCATCATCACTACTGAGGACAAAGCTGCTGCCTGTGGACGGGGGCTCCTCTTCCTTAGCATTCCCCAAACCATCCGAAGTCCCCCTCTCATCAGAATCGTCAAACAACTTCTCATTGGAATCCTCCTCCTCATCAAACAACTTCTCATTGGAATCGTCATCTTCAAACAGCTTTCCCTCTACATCTTCATCTCCCTTTCCCTCTGCATCTTCATCTTCCTTTTCGTCGGAGTCTTCAAACAGCTTTCCATCTGCATCCTCTTCTTCCTCCTTTTCATCAGCATCTTCAAGCCCTTTCTCATCCGCATCTTCGCCCTCTTTCTCATCGGACTCATCGTCAAATACTTTTTCATACATATCTTCCTCTTCTTCCTTCTCATCGGAGTCTTCACCAAATTCTCTCTCTGGGCCTTCCTCATCTAACACTCTCTCGGAGCCATCATTTTCAAATTCTGAGTTTTCAGAGTCATTTTCTTCAAACTCTTTGTCAGGAACGTTTCCATGAGACTCCTTTTCGGAGCCATCCTCATCACAATCTTTTTCAAGACCATTCTCTTCTAATTCTTTTTCGGAGCCTTCTTCTGACTGTTTTTCAGAGCAGTCTTCATCAGACTCTCTCTCTGAGTCATCCTCCTCAGACTCTTTTTTGGGGCCAGCCTCCTCTTCAGACTCTTTGGCAAGGCCATTCTCTTCATAATCGTATTTGAGTATTTTCTTTTTAGATTCTCTTTCAGGGCCATTTTCTTTCAACTCCTTTTTAGGACTGCTCTCTTCAGACTCTTTGGCAAGGCCATTCTCTCCATAATCGTATTTGAGTATTTTCTTTTTAGATTCTCTTTCAGGGCCATTTTCTTTCAACTCCTTTTTAGGACTGCTCTCTTCAGACTCTTTGGCAAGGCCATTCTCTCCAT